AAACTGCTGTTGGCGTTGTAGGGCAATTTTTCATATGCTGAGATGCGACTAAACTTAAAATTTTTTAAACATTTCAATCTTAATAATTTACGTATTACATATATAATTTTTTGTTCTACATAAACAAAAGTATACAAAGGAAATTATTGCAGTAGATGCCATGATAAAGTGTGCCAAAAACCAATTTTATGGCCAATAAGAGGCGAAGTATAAATTAATTTGGCCAAATGCTGCCAAAGTCAAAATATGAATTATTTTCAATTTATCATAATTTTATGAATTTAAACTCAAAATTGAAATTCGTTTGTAGTAGCAGAATAAATTTTAAATTTATATTTATACATTTATTTGTGTATGCAATAAATATTTAATATAAATAAGTTATCAAGAAGAATGCCCTGAATAAGAATTATTCTAGATAGTTTGTTCTGAGTATAGTAAAATATAGTATAATATAACCTAATTGTTTCATTAACAAATTGATTCATTCCTCACTAATTTTATTAACAATGAGTGGGATCTTCGTTTCATATGGTTGTCTATAAGTGATAGTACCTTATTTGGCAATTAAAGCTCTCTGTCCTTTACATACATTTTTTAAAGTTGGTTAATAGAAATAAATAAATATGTAAGATAATCTAAAACCAATTTGCTTTGCGTGATAGTATGTACTGATTTCAGACCCTAACTCCAATGATTTGATTGTCGCTCAATGCGATGGCAAAAGTAATTATTATTCATATGAAAAGGATTGTTCAAATGGACCACAAGTTTTCATGATAAGATATTTAATTTATTTAAGCATTAGTTTTCTAGAACTACCTTAAAAATAGTTCCAACAAGAAACAATTACTTTTCAAATTCTTTTATATATTTCTATATATCTACCATAAGTAAGAATAATGGCTATGAATCATTTGACAAGCAAACCGCTCGTTGTATATATATATATATAATTCTGTAAAATATTCATCTATTCAAAAAGCAGGTTTTTAAAACATCAACACTGTAATTTTTTAATGTTGAAATGCGTCCTACTAAAAAGTGGAATGGAGTTGTTTCTTATGGCCATTTAAGCCACAATAAATGGTCGAAATGATGAGATAAATTGTATCTTTTAGCTCTTGTTAATTACCGCGAGTTTACTCTCTCAAATTGAAAAGTTTGGTTTGATTTTAAAAAGTTTTTACCGTAGTCAATCGGAGGTGCAATATATCGTTTAAAGAAATCAACGATTTTCAACCATAAAGGTCACTCCAACAGTTAGAGACGTTAATACTTGACTTCTGATTACCATCAGAATATCTATGATTTCGTTAACCTGTCTTCTACGTAAAGGTATTAGTGTAGTTTTTTAAAGAATTGAACAGTTTTTTAAATTCTCCTTTTATCAGAGAAACTGCGGTTCGAAAAACAACCGCCCATTGATATGGTTGAAATGATTAAATATTCTAATAATTCCCACTTTCAATCATATTACCCTTTATGTACACATATATGGTACATATCAAAAAAATTCTAAAAAAAGTAATAAATCATAAATAACATATACCCAGATATAGAATGAAAATGACGAATCTTAATCGTAGGCACATTGCAATACAAAATAAGAATATTGTCAAAATATCGTGATAAGCAAAGAAGTTTTGTCCTATCTCCAATGTGGAATATTGATATAAAGGACATTAATCATGATGCGTATATACCTGTTTAACAAATTTGTGAATTTATAAACGAACTTATAAACGATATCAAAGCAATGAATAGAAAGTATCTAAACAGAAAATTATAAGTCTATAATGCAATAAATCTGAAGTCAATTATGGAAGAGTTGTGGTAGATACAATTTTAAATATTTTAAAAAAATTGAAATGTGATTAATGCTTTTCGATACACTCTTTAGAGTGTCTATAGACACATTTATTATCTAAAAGACAAAAACATTGTATACTGAATACGTCACTGGCGAGATTAAAAAAAACAAAGTCTTCTTACATAGATACACATTATAAACTATTTATGTTTATATATAAAAAAATGTATATATATGTCTCACTTTAAAAAAAAAACTAATTGAATTGAAAAACAAGATTAATTGAACCTAATGTAGTCTAATTAATAAGGACTAATATAGTGTCCATGAGGTCGTGTTGAATCCAACTAAGGTCATCCGAAATTTGAATTAATAGTGTGTTTATTGAACGTTGTACAAAGAACAGTTAAGTTTTTCCAAGAATAAGTTTACTGTCCCTGTATTTCACCTTATATAGGAACATATTTGCAGCTTTAAAACTGTCTAGTGGATGTTTTGTTACTACATAACCAGAAATGAGGTTCTGACTTTCAACACAGATTGCTTAATAGAAGAGATTATTTTTGGATAATAATTGGATAATAATTTCCGCAAGGCTCTTAAATTTGCAGACGTCTATAATGCTATGTCTTTAACTTGCCACTCTGACTCTTAAATTCGGAGACTTAGATTCTAAATATTTGCATAGGAGTGTTCAGTTGTTTCATTTTTCTTTTCTTCTCTCTAGTTTCTGTATTTTTGGTTAAAAAAGTTGCCTAATTTACCTTCTGCTCAAAAAGTATCCGATTTTGTTGTTTGTTAACTACTCCTTAAATAATAGACCTTTTTCAAAAAAATTTTTTTTATATATTGGTACACCCTTTCTTGATATGTGGTACAAAGATTTTTTGACCAAACACGGCACCACTGTCATCACTCAGGCACCATATTCGCCAGATCTGGATCCGTGCGACTTTTTCCTGTTCCCGAAACTCAAATTGCCCCTTCGTGGTAAGAGTTTTGAGTCGATTGAATCGGTAAAAGAGAATTCGCTGAAGGAACTAAAAGCCATACCTGCACGGGCCTACGAAAAGTGTATGGAAGATTGGATTAAGCGTTGGCATATGTGTATCGCTTTAGAAGAAGTATATTTTGAAGGAGATAAAATAAATTTGGATTAAAATTTAAATTTGTGTGTTTTATTTACAAAAACCGAATACTTTTTGAGCGGAGGGTAATTATACAAGTGCCTACTCGCTAGTAGCTTTTCAGCACTTGCCACTTTGATACTAGCCTTGTCTAGTAAGACATTCATTCTCAATAATTTGTGGCTACACCTTTTCAGTTTGGATTTTTTTTACCACGGTAACCATATAACAGAGCTCTAATTTCTAAAATTAACAATTATTACATTAATAGCTCGATTAATGGTAATAATACTCTCCTCTTCTTTATGATACTTTAATAGTAAACACAAAAAAATAATTATTTATTCACATTAAATGTTATTATATTTTAAATAGTCTCACCCGTCATTCTTAATATTACGTTCCTAGATTAGGTTCTATACATAAGAAAGAATATATAAATTCATGTAACAAATAATGCCTCTACCAAGAGAATTATATTGAAATTTAATAATTAAAAATAAAATTATAATTAATTAATGCAATTATTCTACAGCTAGTAGTTACATTTACAGCAAAGTAACAAAACTTTGGGTCAGTTGGTTAAAGAGCGCTGACTCTGATCTTCAAAATTCGCAGGATATGAGTTCGATCCCTGGTACTTGCAAACTCAAAAAATTATTTACGAATAATTAAATACAAGAATTATTTCCAAGACCACTGATGATGGGTATTTGGCAATACTCAAATTCAATTAATTAAAATAATATAAAATGAATTTCTGTTCTTGTAGTTCACTAGTGTTCGTAAAACCTCTTTATTTTAAATAAATGAATTGTATTTGGATGATTCGTTTTACCCCACTTATTCCAATAGGAGCGCCAATTAAACACACATCTGTATATTTGTTATTATCAAAAAAAAAAAAAAAAACAAAAAAAAAATTTGATAATCCGCAAACGATATATAGTATATTGACATTGCTTTTATAGCTTTCGGCCTTTGATTGATCAACTTCGTTGGAAAGTAACGTCTAATACAGAAAAAGTGTTTTTCACTTTCTGTTTTAATTATGTATCTGTTAGTATTAATTAAATGAAATAGGTTTATTTTTAGTATTCCATATCATAAGTTCATTTATTAACTGATGATGATTACGTCAAAGGACTATGAACGTTATCTAATACCAATTAAGCCAAACCAAATAAAGAGATATTACAGTTACACATAAAGCACATATGTTAACAAACATTGTTAGTACATATGTTCTCATACACTCCTTCATATGCAAGTATATATATAAAAGTATATATGTGAGTACTTTTATTATTCACATTTATTTGTGAATGTGCAAATTGCTTTGCTGCACAATTGAACAATATTAATAATGGTAAAAATTGCATAAAAAACCTTAGTGGAATCCTTCAATTAAACCGCAA